CTTTGCTCATTTCATTCCAGCCGCGTGTATATTAGATTTGCTTTTCTCGTGACCAAGTTTCAGAGTGAGGCAACGCCATCTGGTCTTCCCCCCAACAGGTGGGCTTCCGGCGGTGCGGGAGGCGGGGCGACGAGGCTCGGGTCCTCAGCTGGGACCAGATCAGCCTCACGATCTGCGTCCTCATCCTCATGAACCTCCTCCTGGACTTCCCCCACGTCACCATGCACCTCATGGAGGTCAGCTGGAAGGAGCCTTCCTTCGTGATCGTCCACGCCATCTACCGCCTCCACTTCGCCCTGGACCCCCTCGTCTTCGTGGGTCTGAACCAGCGGTTCCGCCAGAAGGCGCTGCAGAGGGCCTTCTCGCTGGTGCCTGGCCGGTGCCTCCCGTCCTCCGAGTCCAGCGACCGCTCGCAAAGGAACACGGCCGTGCCAGTTTCTGTGCCTTGAAATTTTCGTTTTGGAACCGACGCAAGTGTGGAAACGATGTCGTTGTGTTGATGCACGCTGAACAAATTGTAAACAAAACTAACGAAGGACAAGAAAACACGAATATGCCTGAGGCCTTTTCGCTGTATCGCTCATCCATGCCCTGAGGAAGCAAAACAGCGAAGAGGCCTTCAGAATATTCATGGGGTTTCCTTGATATATCCTTCTTTCTTTTGATTACATGTTGCTTTGTGGATAATGGTGATAACGACGTTTAACCACGACATGTGAAGATTTTTTCCATTTGCTTTTCGTGTTGTGGGCATTACCGCGTCTTCTGTGCTGATTACAATTTCCATTCACGTCTTTACGAAAAAAAAAATGATTTGAGCCAAGTCTCTAAGGAAAGTATGTATGACTCTTTTTTCAATTGCAACAATTTTCATGGATTTGTTTTGCTATTCATCTCTGATTTTATTGTTAATATTTGGGCATGTTCAATATGCCCCATGTTTGATTTTTAGTTAAATAATAATAATGATACACATATCAAGAAGTACATACAGTTCAAAATGCATTTTTTCACTTAACTGATCATTATTGCACTGTCATGAATGTAATGAACAGTCTTTAAGTTTATTTTAAGGAAACCAACGTATTTAGTATACTCAACGTGTTTGCGTGTGTGTGTGTGTGTGCGCATATATATATATATATATATATATATATATATATATATATATATATATATATATATATATATATGTGCGGATATATATATATATATATATATATATACATATATACATATATATATATATATATATATATATATATATATATATATATATATATATATACTATGTATATATTATACTATATATGTATATATATATATATATATATATATATATATATATATATATATATATATATATATATATATATATATCCAATTAATGCTGGTAAGCTGTAAAATGCAGTGGATTATATATTCATTTCTACTACTTGTATTTTCTTAAGATGCAAGGAAATGAAAGATGTATGAGAGGAAGACAAAATAGCTATTGTAACCTAAATCTAATCACAAATTATTAATAAACAGTGATTCCTAACCATGTATTTTTATTAGTCTAACCTCAGTATTATGTTGAAATGGAATTGAACATTAAGTCTCAAAAATAGAGCCAATTCCGGAATATCTATAAACGTGATTTAAGGTGTAGGATAGAAAATGAAATTACTTTATCCACAGGCGACATGAAGAGCAATCAAATTCGTAAAAAAAGAAGAATTTCATCATGAAATAGTAGAATTAGTTTAATTTTGATGAGAAAGCAACATCTACAGTCTATGTTATTGCCTATGTGTTTGTACTTGCGAGAGTGTTCGTGTGTGTTTTGGGAACTTTTTGCATGTCTAAATAAGGGCATATCTGACTGGAGGAGCTGTTGTGAATGGCGCGCAAATTTTCTCGGCGTCTTGTCTCTTGGCGTCGCAGTTATTTTAAGTCATTTCCTCGCCGCATTTCCGACGTGTCTTTATGCGCAGAAAATTCCTGCTTCCTGTGCGATTTCCGTTCGCGAGTACGAAGGATACGAGGGAAAGTCTGAATGGATGCGCCATCTGCTTGTAAACATGAGAAATACATGATCATTGTAATGACTGTAAAACTAATGGATTAATAACTCCGTGTCTGGCTTCTTGGTGCTTTTGCCGAGGAATTCATTTTCCTCCAATTCCTTATCCTGCCTCTATCCCCGTTCTTCCTTCCCCCCCTCTTCTTTACACACTTTTAGCTTTCGGTGTCCAAGGCGGGCGTCGAGAAGGGAGGCGCTGCAGCGGACGCCTGTCAAACTGATCGCGGATGGCATCACGGGTGGCACCGCCTCGTGGCACTCCCCGCGCCGTCGGTTCGTCAGGGGGAGCCCGTCCTTTTCCGCCGTCGTCACGATCAGGCCGCCCTACCGTGGCACCGCTGCCTGGCACTGCAAAACGTCCTCCGTGCCTCCCCCTCCTTCGCCTTCCTAATCCCCCCCTTCGTATCTTTCAAGTTATCGTCCTATTTTCTTTCTGACGGTTTTCTCCTTCCGGTTAGATAGAGGCGCCCCGGATGTAATAGTCTATTCCTGTGTCTTTATTTTTAGTACTGTTCATATACCGTCGATATCATTACTTTTACTTTTATTATCATCGCTTGGGGGGGGGGGGGTATCATGAAAATTCAGAGAAAAAGGAAAAGAGATACAGATATAGTTCAGCCTTTGAAAGTTATTGTAGTTATTAAAGTTATTATTAGTTATTAAAGTTAAACTAGTTATTATTAGTTATTAAAGTTCAAGTTAACAGGCAATAGGAAGGACATTCAAAACATGCTAAAATTACCTTTGTAATGTTACCCATCCTCTCAAGGAGACAAGACTTCGTTCCTATAGTTCACCGATCTGACGGCTAGATCAGATCGGCGCTGCTTGCCTCTCTCTCCCTCACTCATTCTCTCTCTCTTTCTCTTTCACTCTCTCTCTCTCTCTCTCTCTCATTCATCTCTGCTCTCTCTCTCTCTCTCTCTCTCTCTCTCTCTCTCTCTCTCTCTCTCTCTCTCTCTCTCTCTCTCTCTCTCTCTCTCTCTCTCTCTCTCTCTCTCTCTCTCTCTCTCGTATTCACTCTAGTTTTCATTTTTCTCTTCTCACTGTATCCATTTTTTTCCATACAATTCAGTTAATTTTTTTTCCTTCTCTTTTTACCTTTTAATATTTCACCAGGATTATTGAAATAAGGAAACAATTTATTTATTCATTTTTTTTATTCACTGACTTCATAAATGCGTTGTAAGCATGAGCTTCTTATTTCTTATTCAAGAATATGAAAGAATGCGAATGCGTACACGTGCGATCCTAAGCTCTTTATTTTTTTATATTGGTTATTCATGATGAACTGTTCGCATTCATCGAATCAACATTGATTGTATGATGCTTAAATTTAAGCTCATAATCAGTTAAATTTATATACACATAATCGCACACACACATACGTATGTATGTATATCTTTATATACATATATATATATTCATCTATAAGTATGTCCATATACATATATATATGAATATATATATATATATATATATATATATATATATATATATATATATATATATATATATATACATATATACATATGCTGGGGAAATTAGTAATTGATATACAATCTTTCCAAATTTCTCTCCCACAGCATAACCCTGAAAATTATCAACTTTATTACATTCTCGCTGGTTCCGTTACACCCCGGGGTTTTGACTCTTAAGGGGAATCCAATTTCCCAATTTTGACTTTTTTAACTTATTTAATTATAATATAGGTAGCATTACCTAACGGCCTTAGGGATCATGGGATTGAATTTATTCCTGTGTTGAGAGTGTATACAATATACAATATACAATGAGCATAGATTCTTTTTTTTTTTTTTTTTTTTTTTTTTTGACTAATATATTTTAATCTATGAACAAATCACAATAGGGTGACATATCACAATGGAAATCTTAGCAATAAACTTGTTAAAATGAAAACCCAGAATCCTCTCTGCCGCCAACTTGATTTAATTCCTAAGGGAATCTTTACATTACACCCTCCCTTTGCCCTCTAATTATAAGTCAATAATCATTATAAACATACTAAAAACAAACAAACAAACGTATTACTAAGTCGAGAGAGCTAACTCCATTCCATCGGTATCTTTTCGTTATTTTCTTGTTCTTAAGGTATTTGATCCCTTCCTTTAAACTTTGATGATTATCCTCTCTTCTACTTCACTCTAGTAAATCATTTTACTCTCAATTTAGTCTTTGATACTGCCCGAATTGTCTCCTTCAACTAATTCCATTACTGTATTCATGGGCCCAAAAATTCATGAATAATTAAATAAATATTTCCTGACAAGGCATCATGGCGAGTTATTTTCACCACACATTTTCTCAATCTTTTCTTCTCTCTTTATGTGGGGGACGAAAGCCGAGACTTGTCCTAATTATCACAATGTAAAATATATGTATTTATAATTAAATTGATTCACATATCAAGCACCACAGACTCTAATATCCAGGCAAAATACGATTTAAAACCCCGCACTTAACATATATGTGTTTGGGGCGAAAGCCAAGACTTGTCTGACAAGAAACCAATAAAACAACCTACTTATTATCCCCCCCCCATTGCATTGTTAACTTTTCAACAAACCAATCATTTATAAACTATTATTATAATTTACTCGGTTGGTTATAAAACTAAATGTTGCTATATTGACATGCCGCTAAAAAGTAATTAGAAAAAAACATTTATATGCATTTTCAGCGGGGTCTAAACATCTTTACAATTACAATGAATGTATCTCTTGAATGTCGAATCACTAACGATCTCTACACACAACACACAGCACACACACAGACACACACACCACACACACACACACACACACACACACACACACACACACACACACACACACACACACACACACACACACACACACACACACACACACACTAACACACACACACACACACACACACACACACACACACACACACACCACATATATATATATATATATATATATATATATATATATATATATATATATATATAACAAAAATGTTAACGGAGGCCTCGGGAGATGAGAAACGTATTTCCGCCTAATCTTCATCTGGGAACTCCGGCATCATCAGTTCTTCGTAGATGTGGTCTTCAGGATCCGAATTCCGAGAACACGAAGACCCGGGTCGTGGAGGCAGAGGTCGCAGACGGAACGGAGGTTGGCAGGGCGTGAGTGGTGTCTGTCCCTCACACCTTTCTGTTGGTTGGGACGCGGATTATGGCGTAAGGAAGAAGGTTTTCGTTTTTTTTTTTATTATTGTTGTTATTTATTATTATTATTTTCATCATTATCATCATCATCATATCATCATCAACATCTCATCATCATTATCATTATCATTATCATTATCATCTTTATCATCATCATCATCATTATCGTCATCCATCATCATCATTATCATCATCATCATTATCATCCATCATCATTATCATTATCATCATCATCATCATTATCATTATCATCTTTATCATCATCATTATCATTCATCATCATTATCATTATCATCTTTATCATCATCATTATCATTATCATCTTTATCATCATCATTATCATTATCATCTTTATCATCATCATTATCATCTTTATCATCATCAGTATCCTCATCATTATCCTTATTATTTTTATTATTATCATCATCATCATTATCATTATTATTTGTTATTATTTGTGTTGGTTAGTTTGTTTGTTAGCAGGATAACTCAAAAAGAATA